AGAGTGTTGCAGTCTCTTGTCTGCATAACAAGTCGCATCGGCTGAAAAAAAAATTGGTAAACGGGCTGGTGTCACTGTTGTATTCTCCGCTCCAGAAAAGCTTTTAAAAGTTCATGAATAATCCAGCTGCTATTAAAGTAAGATGCACTGTGAAACACAGAACGCGCTTTGTACCTTGTGTTATTGGTGTCGTATGTCTTATTCCGCTATCGTGCGGAATAATATATTAGATCAAACTGTAGGTGCTTCAATGACCGCTTAAGAGAGCACAATAATATTGTGCACAATGTGGTTCAAGGACACCTTGGAATCCACTGCTGCGACTACGGCTGCATGCCCCTCTTTGAGCGTTGCGAGGTATTTGGCAAGCACAACTCGCACGCCACGCGTGAGATAATTGAAGCTTATCAAATAAATAAGTTTGACAGGTAAATGTGTAAGTTGCCCATCGGTCGCGTTGTTGCTTAAGGATTGCGTATCTCGATCTTCTTTAAGCTACATGTGTATTTGTTTTCAGCTCATTTAACAAGATACACTAGTTTTGCTGACATTGTATCACAGCGATTGTTCCTGCACCTTTCTACGCATGCCCAATTTTCTCCTTTTTTTTCGCCTATATATGTACACCACTTCGATATTAAATCTTTGTTGAAAGTCGGCACTCTTTTCTGTCCTTGTTTTTTCGCTTCTGTAGTAACTCAGTAACTACTTCTAGGTTGCGCTATTCCTACATTCGGTTATGTCCTACCAACTTGCCCAAGTTTCCCTGCTTCATACCTAACCCCCCTGCCTCTATCAATGGGGCAAAGTATACGTGGGAGATAAGTGCATGTGGGCGCATCGCGACGAGCTGAGTGCCAAGCTTAGGCGGCTTCTTTTTCTTTTCTTTTTTTCTTTCTTGAGTTTCTTTATATTTATATATATACACACGTGTACATATACGGTGATTGACGGCAGTGTTGGCGACGAGAAAAACCATCCAAGACTGTCCATATAATTTCTATCTCAATAAATATGAAAGACCGATTGCACGTTAAAGAGCCACCCAGAAAGAACTCTCGTGCCGTGCCCAAACCTTAACAGAGCCGTTGTACATACAAGACTGTACATACAAGATGTCTTAGCCTTTTGCCAGCAAGTTTATAGGCAAATGCCCGAAGCCGACAGTCGGCCGCATGTTTAAAGGCATTGCTGACAATGCCTTTCACTTGTGTACAAAGATTGCTCTACCATTGACGACATCATCAGGGAGGGCTGAAGGTTCAAAGAAGCAAAGAGCCGCCGAGTCATGCAGTACTTTGTTCGGCTCCCTAACACTGCGGCCACGTCGTCGTGCGAACACGTTCTGATCCAGCCGCAGCCCAGTACTGAAAACTTTCTGCGTCTTGTGCGGTGAGGGATCGAGGCAGCAACTCCATCTGCTCCCCAGGCTCGTTCTGACGAGGAGGCCTGTCCGACAGTGTCACTAATCCAAAATGTCGTGCGGGAAAAACTGGCTAATGCAGGTATCCATCTCGTATGTGCCCCAAGTCATCCCGCAGTCAGCCCCGTTTTATACTACCGGCCACAACCGACTTATTCTAGGTGCCATGATTCGAACCAGTGGCGCCTGCATGTTGACTGGATGATATGCTCCAACTGCAACTGGGTCGGCTACATTTTCTGCTATGGTCGCTATCGTCAGCCATCATCTTTTTGTGCACCGTATACCGTCCAGACGACACTCGATTCTGCCCTTTGCCCGGCCATGAGGATCTACCGAACCCTAATGCCCGAACGTTGACCCCACATGACCGCTCGTCATCCCCTTAGATCCAGTGACGTTCTCAGTCACCCCTTCGCCTTTCTTACGCTGTCCCTCCTCGAAATACTGACCAGTGCAGCTCCTGGAGATGATGCTGCATTGGCCTATCGACGCGAACTTCTTCTGCTAACTCTGGCAACTCGACAAATCGTTTTAGACGTAGAAGTAGATGGCGTGCCTGTTTCAGTGCTCATCGACACAGGTGCCCAATTATCAGTCATGAGCACTACTTTTCTCGTAGCTTCACCACTCCTCTCTAGTGGCTAAGGGCGCCTGACCCGCAGGTCGTGGGATTGAATCCTGGCTGCGGCAGCTGCATTTCTGATGGAGGTGGAAATGTTGTAGGCCAGTGTACTCAGATTTGAATACATGTTAAAGAACCCCAGGTGGTCAAAATTTCCGGAGCTTTATCGTTGCATTCCTGAACTTCAGGTGGCACGTGAGGTGCGTGTAATGGAGGCTGAAACGAGTAGTCGGGGTATCTCGGTGCGTTCACTTCGAAGTGCCGACGACATAGACGTGCAACGTGGCCTGGAATTTCGCGAAAATAACTTATGGGCTGGTTGTCAGCAGTGCGCCAAGGATTTCCGGAGTGCTGCTGTGTAGCTGGAAACGGCGCGGTGGACGATCGCACAGGTTGTGGCGCATATATAGGCAGACGAGGCGGATGCATTGCCGCGACGGCCGCATAAGTCAGTGGCGCGGCAACAGGTGTTGGTGGAGAGGCAGACATAGGCGACGGCAACGCCTCAGAGACCTGCTCCTGAATAGCCTGTCTGATGATGGCCGGTGTTCACGAAAGCTGTCGTGCGACCTCTTCACATACATATTATTTTATCTGCTCCAGCAGGGTGCTACCACCATCGACAGCCAGGGCAGCGAGAAAGTCATCTGCTGTCGTCGACCTCCGAACTGATATGCCTGATATGCCTGAGATATGCCTGATTTTGTCTTGCTTGGTCATCTTGGGGTCAAAGCGCCGGCATAAAGCGCTAACATCTTTAATATAGCTTGTGAAGCTTTCACCTTGCCTTTGCGCACGTCTGCGTAGGCGCTGTTCAGCACGCAGCTTGCACACTGCAGGGTGATCAAAGACAGCTGCAAGGGTGGTCTTGAAAGCAGCCCAAGTGGCAAATTCAGCACGGTGGTTTGTGAATCACAAGCTGGCGACGTCTTTGAGATAAAATGGTACATACTCCAATTTCGAGGGGTCGTCCCACTTGTTGGCGGCACTCACTTTTTCAAACAGATGGAACCAGTCTTCCACATCTTAGTCCTCTGTGCCGCTGAAGAAGAGGGGATCCCGTTGGCACAGGATGGTAGGCACGATGACCAGTTGAGATTGGGCCGTGCTTTGCTGGGTGGTGCCTTGCTCGGTGGTCTGATCAGGCATTGCTGATGCAGTGTCCAGCTTCCAGCTTCAAAGTTCCAGATTTGCGTACCCAGCACACTTTCACCACTTTGCAAGAGAGTTTAATAGCGACGCCAGGTAGTCGGCAGACAGCCGGTACGGACAAAAATACTCCAGCAGTCAAGCGTCTGCAACTCGCGCTTCGCACTCAGAGATGGACCCACTGGTTATTGCCTTGCGAATTCCCCACTACAATATATATATTTAGTGCACATGGAAGAACGTCACCTGATATTCTTTCCCCCACTTTCTTTTCTTTCTTTTTTGCGGCTGCATTGACCCCATAAGCACGTTTGAGGGCCGCACCCTGTCTTTTGAAATACCGTATTTACTCGATTCTACCGCGCCCTCGATTGTAACGCACACCCGATTTCCACGACGAAAAAAAAAAGTAAGACATCAATTGCAACACGCACCCATTTTTCTCGCTGGCTGCACGATCACACCACTCGAAAAAACAACTCCTTTTGGGAGAGTCTTGCATTTAAATATGAGGTACGGGTGAAGCTTGTGCCCATCTGACGTGTAACAGAGCATTGCCGTCACTTTTTTTTTTTACCGTGGACCGATGTCAGCACGCGAACTTCCTTCGCCCCCTTCTCGACGGTTGTGGGGCCAAGAACGTCGAAGTAAAGAGGCGTCTGATCAGCATTCCCTATTTGCCCAAGCAGGTAGCCGTTGTTGTGCCGCAAGTTAAGGACGAACCTCTGAAAACTGCGAAGCTTTTTATCGTACTCCTCCGCAAAACTTTTCGCATATGCCCGTTCGCCTTCGGAGGAAAAAGCCTTGCCTCTTCATAAAGTTAGATAGCCAGCACCAGCTCGCTTTAAACTGGCTCCGCATTAGACCTTTTTTTAAGGCTAACTGCATAGCCCGCACTTGGAGCAGTTCTGTTGTCACGGGCCGCTGTGCCGCTCGCTGCTCAAGCACATACTCGCCGAGCACCTTTCAATTTGCGAAAACCGACCCTGCTGTGGTCCACTGAAGCCTTTGCGTGAAGCTTTGCTGTCGACAATCTTCTGCTTTTGTTTCCGCCAGTCCCGCACGCACATTTCGGGAACTCCGAACGACCGCGATGCGGCCCGATTTCCGTCCGTTTTTGCACACGCGATGAGTGTTCTTTTAAAAGCGGCATCGTGGTGCACTCGAGTTTTTGGAGTCGGCCCTTCCATGCCGTCGATGCTAATGCACTACAAGATGAACTCCTCAGCACATGTACTAAGTGCTGCACATGGGAAACACATAGACAGAAATGGCCGACGCACGTATGGGGCGGCCATTTTGGAAATGCCGATGGCAATAGAATGACCGTATTCATTTTTTTTTTTTCGTACTCGATTCTAACGCGCATGCGATTTATGAACTCGCTTAACCCGAAAAAAGGTACGCGTTAGATTAGAGTAATTATGGTACATATTATAAAACGAAAATCTGCGTTAGGGCCACATTTGCACTTTTCTTAACCTATACGTATTCAAAATGCACGCTTGCATGAGAGCTGCTAGGCGCAGTCGACTGCTCAGTTCCCATTCAAAAGTTACGAAACACATATACATAGTTTGTTCCCTTTATAAGAGGCCCATGTTCAGGGAACAATTCTTGTTCCTTATCTGAGGCGTGTCTTACAAGCAGAGTACCACATATGAATTTTCATATATACCCCCAATTTCAAAATGGGTGCACTAGTGTCTCCTGAGTTCATTGGTCTGTTACATTAATGTCTCTTTCGACTGTGTAGGCAGATAGATGTGCCACCCAACTGACCAAACGCATTCCCGAATGCAGTGGACACCCTGCCCTTTGGTGGGGTCGGCCAAAGCGGCATGGGTCGCTACCACGGCAAGTACTCTTTCGACACCTTCTCCAACAAGAAGGCGGTGCTGGTGCGTTCCTTCAACCCCATTGGAGAGGCATTTGGTCGCAAGCGTTACCCTCCGCTGGATGACTCCAAGATTGCCTACTTCCGGCAGCTGCTGCTCAAGCGAGGCTCTCCCTTTGGCAGTGGGCTGCTCAGTTGTGCCCCTTATTTGTGCGTCTTCGTTCTGGGCGTTGCCTCAGCCTTTTTGCTTCGATATCTGTTTCACGTGAGTGTTGCCCACTTGAAAATTTATTTATTTTTGCATATATATGTTCTGTCATCCTGCATAGCAAGATATTGCACGAGTGAGTACATTGATACACTGGAAAAAAAAATACAAAGAGAGTTACATTAGGCAAGCATACACAGTTCATCAATGAACAAAGTTTGGCAATTGTTCTACTAATTTATTATTAGACAACTCCTGCAGGGAGTCCTCAAGATGATTCCAAATGTCAATAGAACAAAGAAAAGAGGAAAGGTTAAAGCACTTTATGGACGATTTTGAAGGAACTATGTTAAGGTGGTGACTTCTGGTGAGCGGGGAAGGGTTAGCAAAAGCAATAGGTGCATTGATAAGCATTTACCCAGCAGGACAACACTGCCCCAAGTACGTCTGTCTTACCTGTAGCTTGGACGTATGGGGTCTCTAATAATACAACGTATATTGTTACTGGGTATTCCCTGTGGCAAAGTGTATGTGCAGATTCAACAATGCTAAAACATGCGCATGTGTAGTCGTATCATGCACTTTTGTTTGTCTGCATGCAGCACTGAGATGATCACCTCTAATACACCTTGACTAAAATGTCGAATTGTCAAGTTCCATTGACAACCTGTTACTGCCACGGGCCCACAATGAGTGCCAATGTTTTGGCAAACAAGACTCACAATAATCTCAGTTTGACTGTCTGTGCAGGTGAACTAATATTGTCGATGCTTTTCAACGTGTACTACATGCCACAATCGACAGTGCACCTTTTCCAAGACAATACCGTTATTCCCCTCACATGTGTGTTCACTTCTCCAAGATAAACAGCTTGCCAGTGTGGCAAATATTTTGTGGCACGGTTTACCACACACCTAGATGTTCTCTGACACATACCACAACTAATGTTGCCACTCACAGGCAAAAATTTGCTTCCAGTGGGACTACTTGCAAGTAGTTCATTGAGCAGGGGCCGCTTGACAAGTGGGACCACTTGCCGCATTCCCCCCGGTGCCATGGAATAGCTTCTAGTTGAAATGTTATTTCCTGATATAGAAACCCCACGACAAATATTCACGTCAACAAGAAATCCAACTGGCCAGATCTTGCACAGAGCTGGCTGCTACTGCATATCACGTGGTCTCTACTTTTATAAACTGCAGCATCTGCTGGTCTAGAGGACACTGCACAGTAAAGGTAGCATGGTGGTGAAACTTAAAGGCATTTATTGAACACTTGCAGCAACATATTTTGAGAGGTAGAATGTGTTTGCCCATCCACTTCAAAGAAATATTTGTGTAGTAAGTGAAAAGCGAAACAATAGGCACTTGATGATCAGTTTAATTTCTAGCAAAAGCCGAAATGAACCATGAAATTATTAGTAATTGAGTGGGCACGGCAGCACTGCGAAAGCAATGTCGCCTAATCTGCGGCTTCTGTTGCTCGAACAGGTTTTCTTCATCTGCGCATCACTACAAGCTGGGGCATACAGCGCATGCATGGCCGTACCAGCTGCTGACACCGCTGTTATCGACCACGGACACATCGTCGACGCTACCCTCGAGCGCAGGCACCCTGGAACGCGCATAGAGCTGTTCTTCGCGGGACCTGTAAAGTTGGACTCCTGCCAGCAGCGTTCAGTGGGCACGGCAACACTGCGAAAGCAATGTCGCCTAATCTGCGGCTTCTGTTGCTCGAACAGGTTTTCTTCATCTGCGCATCACTACAAGCTGGGGCATACAGCGCATGCGTGGCCGTACCAGCTGCTGACACCGCTGTTATCGACCACGGACACATTGTCGACGCTACCCTCGAGCGCAGGCACCCTGGAGTGCACATAAAGCAGTTCTTCGCAAGACCTATAAAGTCTGACCTCCTGCCAGCAGCGTTCAGTGGGCACGGCAGCACTGCGAAAACAATGTCGTCTAATCTGCGGCTTCTGTTGCTCGAACAGGTCAGTTTCTACTCAGAATACTGTTACAAAACTAAAAACAGATTTCTTGTAATGCTGCCGTGCCCAAGTGTAATGTTCTCTGGATTTTCCTCTTTGTGCCTGCTATTGTCTGGCGATGTTAAACTCAACCCAGGTCCTGATGTGAAAGTCCTCCTAAAGGAACTGTCTGAAGGTCAGAAGTCAATTAAGGCAGATCTGAGCGCTCTAGGAGAAAGAATCGCTAAAATGGAAGACGCCATTAAAAAAATCAAAGATCAGGGTAAAAAAATAGGCCAGCTAACGAAAACCGTCACGAACCTAAATGTGACACTATCAAGACAAGAAGAAAGGCAATTAAGCTTAGAGGATAGGAGTCGACGGAATAATCTCTTGGTCTTTGGGGTTGAAGAGGGCGAGGCAGAAACCACAGAAGACCTGGAACAAGCGGTACTGCAGGTCATTTTTGTTCGCACGCTTGGCGTCGAACTAAAAACAGTTGAACGGATCCACAGAATAGGCCGAAAAAGGGGGCCGTTCGCCGCGTCCGGTCATTATGAAGTTATACGACTCCCGAGAGAAGTTAACAGTTTACAAAAATTGCAAAAAGCTAAAAGGCAGCAGTATATCAGTTGGGGACGACTTTTGCAAAGAAACTCTAGCGAAGCGTAAGCTATTATGGGAATCGGGAAAAGAAGAAAGAGATGCAGGAAAACGCATGCATCTGAATTACGATAAGTTGGTCATAGACTAAGACGTGTATTCCTGGGACTACGACAAAAACTGCTGAGTTAAGCTTAAGCATACAAAGAAAAAACCACATCACTCTGACGACGATGACTGATTCCATTCGCAGTCAAGTGCATGCAGCCCTCGCTTAATTAATCTAAATGCTCAGAGCCTTATCAATAAAGTTAGTGACCTAGAACATATATTAGCAAGCTATAACCCACACGTAATCACCGTCACAGAAACATGGCTGCGACCGGAAATAGTGGATAGCGAAATTGTACCACCCGGCTACAAAATATTTAGGAAAGACCGCGATACACGAGGTGGTCGTGTGGCGATCCTTCTTGCAGATGTTGAAGCAATGGTTATGGAAGGAATACCCCACCATGAAACTGTATGGGTAGAAATAAAATTACCCAAACTTCTCTTGTTTTAGGGGCCGTTTACAGACCTCCAGGCGCCCCTAATTTATACCTAGAAAGTTTGCAGCAATACCTTGATGGTATTGCTACCCAGAATCGTAGAATGGTTATTGCGGGAGATTTCAATCTTTCTGGAATTAATTCGACCACATTCTCAACTAAATCGAAGGAAGCAATAGACTGCCAACGGCTTTTAGACATGGCTTTCAGCCATGACCTCACGCAGGTCGTCACTGACAGTACACATGAAACAGGGTATCCATATTCCATACTGGATCTAGTTTTTATTGACGAGCGAATGGACACATACAACGTTGCAATTGAACATGGATTGTCGGACCACAAACTTGTTTCAGTTGAGATAAGCATTGATGGTGCCTTGCCATGCAAAAAAGAAAGCTTCAGACATGTGCGCAACTTGAACAAGGCCGACGATACAAGCATAATTGATTACTTGTCGTTTTCTTTGGATGCGTTCAATGAGGAAAGTGACGTCAATAAGATGTGGATAAGGTTTAAAGGAATTGTCACGCTATGTATCAACAAATTTGTGCCCTTGCAAAAAAAGAAACAAAATAAACAGAATCCTTGGATGAATAGGAAGATAATACATATGAAGCGCACCATTAACCGCCAGAGACAAAAAGTAAACAAAGATCAATCCAAGATACGCAATTGATTAAGGCTTCTGCGTGCTGAACTGAAAGAATCAAAAACAAAGTATTACGAAGAAATATTGCCGACATTTATGAAATCTTCCCCCCATCGTTTTTCGCGTCGCTTGTCTCGGAAGGAAGACCACTCAAGACGCGTGCATTCTCTTGTTGTCAATGATGAATTGGTGACCGACTTCTCTTCTATTGCTTACCTACACAACAGATTTTTCCAGTCAGTGTTTACTGTTTGTCCTGATAATGGTGATGCATCCACGCCACTTTCTTCTCAGTTGTCAGTTATGCCTGACGTTCAGATCACTTATGAAGGCATCGTATCATTATTACTGAACATGAACGTGAAAGTCGATCGGACCAGATGGCATACCAAATGATTTACTGCGAAAGTATGCGGAATGGGTTGCGCACTATTTATACATAATATATAATGCCTCAATAGAACAAAAGCATGTCCCAGACGACTGGCTTGTGGCGAAGGTCGTGCCAACGCATAAGGGTGGAGACCAACAAAAGGTGGAAAATTACCGACCAATTTTCCTCACCTGTCTATGCTGCAAGCTTTTAGAGCATATTATAACCAAAGCTATGTATACGTATCTTGAGGGCACAAAAACATTTTTTCCTAATCAACATGGTTTTCAGCATAATTTATCCACTGTAACTCAATTACTAGAAATAGTCAATGACTTCACGCGTGCCTTAAATAATAGTGTTCAGATTGACGCAATATGTCTCGACTTCTCCAAAGCCTTTGACAAGGTTCATCACAGGGAGTTAATAAGTTAGCACACCTAGGCATAAATTATAACATAATACAGTGGATAATTGCGTACCTGACAGGCAGAACACAATATGTAGAAATAAATGGCTTCAAATCTGAGTCATTAAGCGTTAGTTACCCCAGGGGTACCGCAAGGTTCAGTTTTAGGACCGATATCATTCTCAACTTACACAAATGACATTTCATGCGGCATAGATAGAAGTACTACAGCGCGACTTTTTGCAGACGACTGCCTAATTTATAAAGAAATACACAGTAAAGCTGACCAAAAAATGTTTAATGATATTCTTGATGCTGTCAGTAATTGGTGCACTGAATCTAAAATGGAAATAAATCAAACTAAAACGGTTGCTTTGCACATCACAAACAAAAGTAAGCGTGTCTTCCACTCCAATTACACTCTGTTCTACCCGCCTGTCTACCATGAATGAAATAAAATACTTAGGTGTAACAATATCCAGTAATTTAAATTGGAGGAC